TATTTGATATTTGAACAAAACCAGGATCTTGTAGTTGAAGAAAAGCTGGCTGATGGGCTGTCATCTTTGTTCTGGGCAATTGGCTACCATTTTATCTTCTAAGAATTGAAGTACTGTCTTGGCTTATAAAGGGAGGAGCTGATGAGTGTACAGAAATGTGCCATCACTGTGGTTAACTTGGAAGAACATTCCCTTGTGTTTGGGTAAATAGCGATATTTTCTTCAACGTACAGCTAGTTTGTGGAGTCAGTGTAAAAAGTTGTAGTAAATTAAGTTCTGCATGCTATACTTTGGGGCACCTATGCCGTTCTGTTACAGTCAATTAAGCAAAGATAATTTAAAAAATGCTTCTCTACCATTTCCATCAGAGCTGTAAGAAGCAAGACTTTGGCAGCCAGTGTTCTTTTTAACTTGTAATAATCCTTTTAGACATTTTTATTCTTTCCATTTTTGTTTTGCTGTTTCCCAGAGTTGTTCAGTAGACCAGGTACTATGAAAAAAGGAAATGTGTTTGTATTCACCACTGCATGCCCATTGTTATATACAAATTGTTCTAGAGTTAAGGCTCAATGAATATTTGGTAAATAAATGAACACACCTCTCAGCTCTGATCAGACCAGTCTAGTCACAGGCCATGCTCATGTGGTAGTTTCTCAACCTAGGAAATAAGGATTTCTGAGTTCCTTCCATTTCTTTGTCTTTTCTCAGTGTAGCAGCCCAAATAGTTCTTTTAACCCTAATGTGAAATCATATATTTCTGCTCAAAACCTTCCACTGTTTTCTCGTCCAAAGCAAAATAAAAGCCATTTACTCAGATTCATCTCTGAGGCTCTGTGATCTGGAATTCTAGCTTTTCTCTGGTCTCATCTCTTACTTTTCTTTCCCTCATTTTTCCCAATCCAAACACACTGTCATTCTTGCTGTTCCTGAACACACCAAGTATATTCCTGCTTCAGGGCACTTGCTGTCCACTCTTTTGGGGAGACTTTTCCTGTAAATGGCCACATAGCTCACTCTCTCCCCTGCTTCACATCTTTGTCCAAATGCCACCTTATGGAGGAAGCTTCCCTGGCCGGCCTATTTGAAACATTCATTAAAACCTCTCTAGTCTGTTTTCCTTCCCTGCTTTGTTTTCCCCTTTGTGTTTATCGTCATTTTCATCTGCAACACTATACACGTGCTTGCTTTTTGACCTGTTAACATGTCATCCGCAGAGGAGTACAAGCTTTTTAAAGTCAAGAATTTCAGTGTTCATTATTTATAACCAGACCTTGATTGCTGGGATCAGTGCTTGGCACAGGGCTGGTACTCAATAAAGAATTAATGAGTGAACAAATTATCTCCTTCACCTGTAAACTGGGGGTAACAATACCTTGCAGTTGTCTTTTGTGCATTAGTGATAATGCGTATAAGGTAATTAGCACAGTGCTCAGCACATGGTACTTGCTGAACAAATTATGGCTTTTGTTATTTTTATAATATGGTAAAAACCTAAAATATCTCCTATTTCATCTAATTCCCTGAACATATATGGATAAATTCTCTTATGTCCAAGGCACCATTTGTACAGATTATAAAGACAAAAGGCAAAGCCCTTAGTCTTATAGGAGTAGCACATAAACATGTAAACTATTTTTTGTATTCAGATACCCCAAATTCTTGCATGATTCATATTTAAATTTCTTGAGTTTCCAGATATCTCAAGTGCGGATAGGAAGCCTTTTCAGTTCTTGTGTCAGTTTGCTGAGGATGATGTTTTCCAGATTCATCCATGTCCCTACAAACGACACGAACTCATCATTTCTGATTGCTGCATAATATTCCATGGTGTATATGTGCCACATTTTTCCAATCCAGTCTATTATCAGTGGGCATTTGGGTTGATTCCAGGTCTTTGCTATGAAACACCGCATATTCTCACTCATAGGTGGGTGATGAAAAATGAGAACACATGGACACAGGGAGGGGAGTACTAAACACTGGGGTCTATTGGGGGGAAAAGGGGAGGGCCAGTGGGAGGGGGAGGTGGGGAGGGATAGCCTGGGGAGAAATGCCAAATGTGGGTGAAGAGGAGAAGAAAAGCAAAGCACACTGCCATGTGTGTACCTACGCAACTGTCTTGCATGCTCTGCTCATGTACCCCAAAACCTATAATCCAATAAAAAATTAAAAAAAAAAAAAAAAAGGAAGCCTTTTCAACAATAACAAAAATATAAATTCACATGCACATTCCTTCTCTGTAAGAATACCTTTGAACATCTCTCTTTCTCTAAATTATATTCTTGTCTAGAAATTTGAACATCTCTAGAAAAGGTAGAACACAAACTCAGTCTGTTTCAAATCACCACCTTTATCTATGCTTTTTATATCACCCACATTTCTGTATCATGAATATGTACATCTCTATATATGTATAGATAGATCAATGTATCTTTGTAGTTTCTATACATAGAAACTTTGTATAGAAAAATTATTTCTATGTATAGATCTATGTATAGAAACTTTGAGATATAAATCACATACTTTTATTATAAGGAAGTATATTAACCCTAAAAAGCAACAGAGATAATGTAATTAATGTTATTATAGTCTATGGTTAGTTTTAATAATAACATTTTGCCATGTTTGATTCAAACATTTTTCCTAGTAAACTGATTATTACAGATGTTGTTGAATACTTCTTATTTCCCAGATTCTATTTTCCTCTCTTTCTCACCAGAGATAATCCTGACTTTGTTGTTTGTAATTACAATGAATTTTTTTTTAAGTTTTATAACTAGTAAATCCTGGCTGTAAATCACAAATATGTCTTGATACACCTTTAGATTCACAGAATAGAGCAAAAGAAACAAAACAAAATATCTCATTTTAAACTCTGGAGGTCCACCTTCTCTTGAAAAATCAGGAAACCTGGTCAGTCCAGGTCTTCATTTCTTCAGAATTTCTTAGTTTCATCAGGTGCCCAGGTGAAACTGAGAGATAGTTATCTACTCATCAGCAGAATTGCATTTAATGTCCACTAACTTACTTCTGGGCTGTTTCTTTGATTTGTATTTCTTATCAGGGCTTTATAAGTATTCGCATTTGTAACTTGTTCTAAATCTTTTTATTTTTTTAATTAAAAAATTTTTTTTTAATTTTTTTGAGACGGAGTCTCATTCTGTCATTCAGGCTGGAGTGCAATGGGGCCATTTTGGCTCATTGCAACCTCCGCCCCCTTGGGTTTAAGTTATGCTACTGACTCAGCCTCCTGAGTAGCTGGGATTACAGGTGTGCAATACTACACCCGGCTAATTTTTGTAGTTTTAGTAGAGATAGGGTTTCACCGTATTGGCCAGGCTGGTCAATCCTGATCTCAAGTGACACACTGTCACAGCCTCCCAAAGTGCTGGGATTAAAGCCCTTACCAATTTTAAATAAATTATTTCTTTTTGGCTTATCTTCTGCTTCATTTTAATTTTAATTCACTTGGTTGTGCGTTTCTGCTTTGGTAACTATTCTTTTGCTGAAGAAGATGAAAGCAAAAGTGGTACTTTCCCTTTTCACATTTCCATGAGTCACCAGTTTACCTACCTTTAAGCAATGGGTCTAATTTTTCATATTTTTCATGAATTGAATACAGTGAGTAACATCCTTCGTCTTTTTCCCCCCTTAGCATTGTTTTATGAGACTGACATTATTTGGAGTTAGAAGCAGCTCACATTCACCTCCTCAACCCTTGAAAGCTTTCTTTTAAATTGTTAAACTAAACCTTTAGGGATTATAATCCCAATTCCAAATCATCTATACTTTGATTTTTTAATATATTTTATTCCATTTTTGTCATTAAAAGAAATTCTTAAAACATAAATTATTAACAAATAGAAAAACCCATGGTTTTATATTTCAAGGCCTATGTGGAGAAAATCCAGTCCAATAACAAAAAATTGTTTTTATACATGTTAATTATTCATCTTAGTTTGAGAATAGTTAATGATCATTGGGGAAAATATAATACTCTCAATAATTTATGATAATGCCAGATTATAAATGCCACACTATTTATTGAATACTATGAGGACAAATGACAAATTGGGAAAATATTCACATACATAATTTTCTAATACATAGTGCCTGCAGTACTTCCTCTCTGGAGTATCAGATTATTCCTAGCAAATTCATCTACCTGATGCAAACCAAGAAATCACTCTGCTGATTTTATATAGAATCAAATACAGGTTGTTTTCAGTTTCAGAGTCTAATCTGGCAGTCACAAATTTTCCCATGCCTATTATGGTCACCAGAAATAGTTAACAGTGCACCATGGTATAGTTTTTGCAGTCCCTTAAAAGGAAATATATTCTTGATCCAGAACCTAGGTTATGTGTGCAACTTTCTAAAGACTTTAAATCAGAAAATGTAATATATTCATTTTCTTTAATATTAGAGTTGTAATTCTTGTTTCATCTAGAATTTTGGTTTTTATTGCTCCTTGTTGGATAAAATGGCATCGTTTTTCCTTAGCTTGTCAAAGAAATTAAATAGAAAACTAAGGGAACACATATCGAGGTGGTGGTAGACTCTCCTCAGTTTCTTTGAAAAAAGGAGATCTTACTCTTACTAAGTGTCCTTGGTGACATTTGCAGATGTTGTCTCTGTGCTCTAATGAGGAACGTGCAGTCATAAATACCTCCTGATGAAGTAGTTTTACCTTCAGTATTCTGAAATTTTTTCTTAAAATTCTATATTTGGAGGAAAAATATACTTTCCTGAAATACAAACTGAAGTATGACTTCTGTCAAGATTTGAAGGCTATCTGGCTTTCTTGTACGTGGTAAATTAACATGTTCCAGAATACAGGTCACTCCCAAGAGAGTGTGGGCATGTAGAACATATAATGCACACTTTGGTAAAGATACGCTACTGTCATCATGGTGCTGATTTTGGGGTAGCACAGTACCTGAAAAAGTTCAAACTGAATATTCAAACTAAATGTACCCCAAGGAAAGATACACACCAACTTTGTTTTAAAAGAAACAGTGTTTATTAAGAAATTATATGTTGAATTCTCCTACAGTCTGTGAAGATGGTTTCTTCCATTTCCACAGCACAAGACAACAGCTAAGATTATCTGGAAAACACTTGCAATGCTTGGGAATGGAGAGTTCCTAGGAACAGGAGGTGAAATGAAATGATGTATACACTAATTTAAACTTGGATCCAAGGGCAAGACAGTTTTTTCCTTGGCATAGTCCTTACTTGTATGAACACTGAAACCTGTCCATGGAATCTCATACCCAGGCTGAAGTAATAATTGGATCATTTTAGTTCAGTAGAGCGGAGCATGCTCAACTTAATCACAGATCAAACCAACAGTTCTTTAACTATTGTATCACATCTGAAATATCTGCATTCTTTATTAATAAAAAGGGTGCTTATACAGGGCAGAAATATAACTTTCTCAAGTATTTTATCATTATGATCTGAAGTACTTTAAACTATAAATTAAAAATAAATTATAAAAACTAGCATAAGATGCATCTTTCTTACATGACATTGTTGGAAATAAGCTTTAAATACAGAATTGCAATATCACCCAACTTTATATATGATCAACAGTGAAACATGCTAATCATAAAAATAGCTTTTACAAATATACATTTGTATATAGTGTCTCCCTTACCATTCATAAATGTCTTCCACATTTTAAGACTAAAAAAAAAAGCATAATTAGCAAAGGGGAAAACACATTTACAATTCAAACCATAAAAACCTGACAATTGTACAGCTTAGAACATAGAAGAAATGGAATTTCTAAAATTGAGCAGTACTGTCCATTATATTGATTTGGGTTTTTATATAAATTGAACCAAAGATGCTGCTGTCTAGTAAGAAACCTCCTTTCACATTTCTGGTGGTTGTCACAGTTTCTCTTTTCTGCTTTGTGGCATCATACATTATTTCAGATCACTTTATCTGTAGAAACTGAGAAAAGAAAAAAAATATTTTAAAATACAGAGATTCGTGTTTCATTGTTGATAGCATGCATATACTATATGTAAGTTAGTTTTTTAAGGTTAAATCAGGAGAAGAGTAAAGGAAGAATTAGATATTTAGGACAAATACTTTTGATAGTGGGTTCTTAGGTCCTTTACTCTAGGCAATTTTATAATTATTATCATTTATGGAATGTTATGTTTTTTTTTTAAACCCAGCGAATTTACTGCCTGAGGTCAGCAGTTATTTTTTCAACCTAAGCTCTTGTTCAAGTCAAGGGGGAACCACTTGAAGTTCTAGGCCAGGGAGAAAGATTTGAATTATGAATCTTTGTTGACCCTAACAAGAGTGACCATAGGATACCTACCCCTACTATGAGGCTTTGAACAGTGCCGGCCTAAGCCTTATGCATCTGGGATAGGAGAAAAAGCCAATGCAGATCTTTGGTCTGCTCTTTACAATCTGAGTTGCAAAAGAAGTCAGAAATACTGAAAGACTTCATGGTACAATCATGAGTCGAAGCGTTATGCTGGAGAGGATGTGGAGAAATAGGAACGCTTTTACACTGTTGGTGGGAGTGTAAATTAGTCCAACCATTGTGGCAGACAGTGTGGTGATTCCTTAGGGATCTAGAACTAGAAATACCATTTGACCCAGCAATCCCATTACTGGGTATATACTCAAAGGATTAGAAATCATTCTATTATAAAGACACATACACATATATGTTTATTGTGGTGCTGTTCACAATAGCGAAGACTTGGGACCAACCCAAATGCCATCAGTGATAGAATGGATAAAGAAAAAGTGGCACAATACCATGGAATACTATGCAGCCATAAAAAGGGATGAATTCATGTCCTTTGCAGGGACATGGATAAAGCTGAAAACTATCATTCTCAGCAAACTGACACAAGAACAGAAAACCAACATCGCATGTTCTCACTCATAAGTGGGTGTTCAACAGTGAGAACACATGAACACAGAGTGGGGAACATCACACATCAGGGACTGTTGGTGGCTGGGGGGCTAGGGGAGGTATAGCAGGGAGTTGAGGGATAGGGGAGGGATAGCATTAGAAGTACCTAATGTAGATGACAGGGTGATAGATGCAGCAAACCACCATGGCACATGTATACGTATGTAACAAACCTGCACGTTCTGCACATGTACCCCAGAACTTAAAGTATAATACTAAAAAGAGACCAAATTCAATTGGTTGAAGAAGTGGTTGAAATTAAACATGAAGATAAAATAATGCAAGAGTCCATCAGTGAAGAAAATCATTTATTTATCTTAGAATCCTACCAAGTTCCAGGGCTTTATATTTAGATAAAAAATATTAGATCTACTGTTATCCCATCAACTTCAAAGGTCTTAGAAAGTCTGTATATGCCTTAAGAGTCAAAGACATGCAAATCAAGGTATCAGTTTCGATGGGACATGCTGTTGTTCTGTAAGTAGCTGGAGAATTAGGTAACTTGACTTTATTAAAACTTTGAAGTCCCTGATACAATGTTTTATATATTTATATTTATGTATATATATACAGTTATATATATATATATATTTATCACCCAGTGTGTGATGCTCCCCTCCCTGTGTCCATGTATTCTCATTGTTCAACACTAGCCTATGAGTGAGAACACGTGGTGTTTTTCTGTTCTTGTGTCAGTTTGCTGAGAATGATGTTTGAGTTTTCATACTTGTGTGAGATGTGCCTTCCTCAAACCTTGTTATGATGTTGACACATTACCTGTCTAACATGAAAAAAAAATTAATAAACTTAACTAAAAATAACATACCCACTTAATAGCCTTTTCTATAGTCAAACACATTTAAAAACTTATATCCCTAGGAAGGAAACTTTGATGAATAAGACACAAGTATATTTTGACACTGTATTTTTATATATTCTCTTTCTCTCTCTCTGTTTCTCTCCCTCATTGCCTTTTTCCTTTTCTATTCCCTCTGTTTTCCCTTACCCAATTTATACTCGACACTGATCACATATATGTGAATTTTGAACAATGAAAGCTTTATTCAAAAGTGTTTCTCATGCAGTTCCAGGTTGTGTTTATGTACATAGGAAGAGTCAATTTGGTATTTAAGGCACAAAGGTTTGAACTTACTGTACAATGTAAGTAGGCTACTTTTTGTGTGGTGTAAAGGAAGTTTTGTATATGACCTGCATGCACATATTAACAATGATCAATTATCAATATGAGAATGAATAACTTAACAAAATCAAAGTAACCTATAGATGAACACTGAAATATGAAAATAAGATATTGCAATGTTTGAATTTTGATAGTTATTACTTAGGTGCAAGAAGGAAATAAGGCTACTTATATGATGGCAATCGCACTCTTTCCTCTAAGGCCTCCATTGATGGCTTTCTTATTATAAATGGAAAATGCTAAAAATACTGCAGCAGCTGTGTATGTAAAGCTTACTAATCATGGCGTTTCTCCAGGTTAAGTCATGGTAGATGACATGAGTCTAGTATATTCTTACACCATCCTGCATGTCTCAAAAGAGGCTGTTTAGCAACTATCCACTTTAAGATGAAAAAAAAACCTGAATATTTTTTTGTGCATAGTTTATTATCCTAGTATAATTTTATCATACACCTTCCTTTGCTTTTTGATTGTAAATAATTACATAAAAATAATTATTGGGAGAAGAAAGGTAGGTTTGAAACTAATGTATTGAAATCTTCCTTTTTGCCAGAAAGCTTCAAAGCATTTTAATAAAACAAAAGCCTCATTAACTTTGTATTGTGAAGTAGGCGTTATTAAACATATCGTTACAAGTTATGAATATATTTCTCCTTATTTAAAAGCAATGGCAAATCATTCACAAAGCTTTCCATAGAACCTCTAGTCTAAGAAAAGTCTTGCTGTTGGCTGTAAAGCCTGGGAGAAAGAGGACAAACTATGACATTCATACTGCTTTTTTCTCAAGAAACATAGTCACTTATGAAGCTGATTGGCTTAGTATAATGTAAAACTAATTGTGCTCTCCTTCTCTGAATAGTGGGTAATTTATCTAGTGGCTGTTTGGGAGCTTGGAAGCTTTTAAAACAAATTCTCCTGATGATGAATGCTTTTTAAACTCTCAATCTCTCCCATTTCTGAAAAAAACAACAAAAGAGAGCTGCTCGGACGGGACTGGATTATATTGAGCCAAGCAATTACTTCTACTTGACACAGATGAAATGGATAGTATTAATTTATATGGAAGACAAATTTAATTTTAAACTTTATGCATTCATATATTGAAAATAAAATAGTGCCACAATACATAGAAAGAATCCACCTTATTTACAGCTCTGCCCAGAAAATCATACTTTTAAATAAGCCTCATGACTTCTTTAGTAGCAGAAATGTTTGTTATTTTTGTTCTAATTCAGATTTATAACTAATAAGAAATTAGAGAAATTTAGATAATCTCTATTTTTAGAGACCATATATAAATGAAAAAAAGGTGAAAGAAACTGTAGGTAAGACAGGTCATACAACATTTTATAGAAAAGCAAAGTCTTATGAACAGGAATTATCTATACTTGTTGCCACTATGGATCATGTTTCTTGAGTAATTGTCCAGCCATTCACTTTTTACAATGTGAATATATTTGGCTTTTACAAATCCCTCATTATAAATGAGATACAATTCAATTCAAATTTTTAAGTAACACAGCTAATTCCTAGCACCTACTGTTCATCATAAGTTAAAGCTTGCCTTCTGTTAATAAATCTTTAGGAACCAAAGTATATTACACTTTTAGGCTAAAATAATCATCAAAAAACTGTAATGGAATGAAAACCAAAATGGGTGGTAACTTACTGGAATAACTACCAATGGAGGAAACTGTTTCATTAAATAGTTCTTGGAGGCTGAATAATCTATTCCTGAGTTGATGGCCATTTGGGGTGTAGGAGGGTGAGTCAGAAAACACAGGGGAGAATCATCTGCAATTTCAACTTTAATATCAAGGCCTAGATGAGTAACATCTAATATGTAATTGCACAACAGGGTGACTGTAGCCAATAATAATTTACCTGCAAATTTTAAATAATTAAAAGAGTGTAATTGTTTTTAACACAAAGGATAAATGCTTGAGGTGATGGATACCCTATTTACCATAATGTGATTATTACACATTACATACCTGTATCAAAACATATCATATATGTCATAATATATACACCTATACATGTACCCACTAAAATTTAAAAAATAATTAAGACTTAGATAATCATGGCAGAGACTATGCAATGTCACTTAAGAGAGGTAGAAGGTTTCCAGGTTTTGATAATTGATTAGTTCCTAACTGAAGCTTATTAAGTCAGCCAAAAAAAGAATGCGTTCATCTGAAAGTGACTTGTTTGGCACTGAAAGTACAGAAAAGCAAGAAAGTTTTGTAGGGCCACTTGATTTTGCCCATTCACGAACTGTCCACAGAAGAAGGTGTCCAAGTCCTGGTAGTGAACCTAGCCTGTGATGACAGAGACATTCCTATTGCAGAAATGGCACATCAGCACTCTCAGAACAGTCAGTCCCAAAGGTCACTCTGTTCTGTTTCCACAGCTACTTGTCAGTATTATTTCTTTCTCTGGCACTTCTGGGAAGTAACTCATCTTACGAATGCACCATAGAGTTCTGACATTTTCTTCAGGACAAAGAACAGTGCTGATTACCACTTGCTAGAAAACTGGGTTTGCCAAACGCAAGGCCCCTGTCCTGTGATGTACTGCTCTGTGCTCACAGCCTCCGCTGGGCTCTCTATCTCAATCTTGGGTCTTAAGGATCAGGGAACAAGTGCGACTATCCTAACATGCCTACTGCTTTTGTCATGTAGCAAAGTCTGTTGTCTCAGGAGTCTCCCGTTTTCTGTCAGCATCCCTGGGACTCTACCTGATTAACTTATTAGCTTGGATAGTTATTTTTTGGGACCCCATTTGCTTGTAGAAAGCAAAGTTCTTCTGCTTTAGTTCTCCTGAATACTGCTAAGCTTATTTAAATTGGGTTAACCCTTGACATTGTCTATAGTGATTCCTGGTAAGTTGTGACTCCACTGACAAACTGTCTTCTGAACATGCTCACTGCTTTTTTTCCTGTCTCCATTCTACCTTTTCTTTCCTTATTTTCCTGTCCCTTCTAACTGTTCAGTTTTATGACTCAAACCCATTGTTCTGCTCAATAATTCTCATGTCTTTTATCCAATTTTCTGTCTGGCTCACAACAGTAATGAAATAAATACAATTGGCTGGGCATAGTGGCTCATGCCTGTAATCCAAGCACTTTGGGGCGAAGGCGGGTGGATCACCTGAGGTCAGGAGTTCAAGACCAGCCTGACCAACATGGTGAAACCCCGTCTAAAAAAAAAATACCAATCAAGAAACAACAGGGTCTTTTTTTCTTTTTTTTAATCATAGTGCATCACAAATACCCAAATCAGTGGGTTTTGTTATTTCATAAAGAAATGAAAGATAAAAAGGCTAGGAAAATCATCCATTTTCTATAGTATCATAGAATTTAAGTTACTGTATTTTCATTTGATTTCTGTTATAAACCTGTGAAGCAGGTTCTTGGGCAAGAATCATCCTCTGATTATTAGTTCTTGGATCAGAAATTGAACGTTTTGCCTCCCAGCCTAGACTTGAGCTTTCTCTCATATTCCTTTCTGACCAATTGTGGGAATAAGCGTTGTAGTGAGGCAGTCTGGGCACACCACTAATTATAGCATGGATGATCTTTACCAGAATGTGAAAATACATACCTTCATAATAAGTAGGAGATAAGGGATGGAATTAGTGGGAACATATTAGGATTTTCCCATGAACTTCTACCTGCTTTTCCCTCATTTGTAGTAGTTCTACCTAAATTGTTTTTTTTTTTTTTTTTTTAAACGTTAGGTTCTTGGGTACACGTGCAGGTCATGCAGGGTTGTTGCATAGGTGCATACTATATCTGGCATTTCTTCCCATGTTATCCCTCCTCACCCTTCCCACCCCCCGCTCTCTCTCCCCTATCCCTCCCCAACTGCCCCCAGTGTGTGATGCTCCTCTTGCTGAGTCCGTGTATTCTCATAGTTCAATACCTGCCTGTGAGTGAGAACATGCAGTGTTTGGTTTTCTGTTCTTGTGTCAGTTTGCTGAGAATGATAGTTTCCAGATTCATCCAAGTCCCTACAAAGGACACAAACTCATCATTTTTTATGGCTGCTTCGTATTCCATGGTGTATGTGCCACATTTTTTAAAGTTCTGTTTTGAACTAATTAAAATTTATTTTAATTAAGAACTTACTTTAGGCATTTGTTTAAAAACTGCTATGTGGTGAAACTACTTTGATTAAGTAAAAAGAACAACTAACTATATGGTAAAATTATTGAATGTGGGTTACATAATTTTATTTAGAATGTATAAAAATTTCATATTCAAAAAATTTAATTACATCACTTGGATGTTCTGTTACACATACATTAACATTTCACTTATTTTATTCCAAACTGTACTCTGATACTTTCTGAAGAAAATGATGATTGTATTTTGAGTGTTTTGGGACCACTGACAATCATATTTAACTAGTTGAATTGATAAATTATAGTAGTTTGAATAGGCACATAATTCACATTTGATCAGGCATCGATTTTTTATTTTTCTTACTAATTATATAGTGTCTAAAAACCATTATTTACTTCCAATGCTGGAAATGGTAGTGATAATTTTAGGATAGTACTTTAAATGGCCTAAGTTAATT